TTCAGTTAATGGGGTGGTAAATTATTCCTGCGAGGGGGCTCATTGAATGCCTCCTTTGAAACAAGTTAAAGACTACAATGGAGAGAAAAATCTGTAGGACTCTTCATACCAGCTCCAGGAGAAAATATTTATGGAGCATTTCAGAGCCGGGTCTTCCTGATGATTCTGCACACAGCAAGAGTGAAAGGTTGGGTCATGTAAATAGCGATATCACAAGCAAATGGATGGAGCAGATGCTGCAAAGTGTGTTTTCCAGCTGTCAAGGTGCATGGCAGCTCGGGGAAAGGAGAATGGGCTCGGTTTGCTCAGATGCTGCCTTGGGATCGTGATGGCCACGGGCTTTGCAGGTCAGCTTCTCATCGCACTGAGTGCGAGGTGTGCAACCAGTGCCTTACTGGTACTGGAAGGGGGAACACTTGTCTTGAGCTTCGCTTTCATGAAAGCAGATTTCTTCTACTAGCAGATCAATAAATTCATTGATGTGTCCAAGTGCAATTAGCAAATGCTACAGTGGGAAAGCTTCCTAATCAGAATCGTTTACCAGGCAAAACCAAAATGTTGCACATCTTGCACGTTGGTTTTTTTTGGATCCAGCAAAAGACCCATTAATCAACCTCAGAAACACGTATAAGGCCAGGCATCAGTTACAGCCGAACTCTGTAAAGATCTTTTCATACACTGTACGCAGCTGGCACGCTGCCACGTGCCATAACCCCAACGTGCCTGCAGGGTCGGCGCCTACACCTGCAGGGCTCTGGGGTGGTCCCAGGCCGGGGGCTGCAGCTTTCACAAGAAGGGTCCCAGTTTCTCCTCAGAGCTGTGCAGAGGGATGCAGTCATTGCTGAGGCTCTGAGAGAGGGTTTGAGAACTGGCTGGGATTCCTCATATGGCTTTGATGAGAAGCAGGTGTATCTGGAGAACATCTTTGTGGTGAGCGGGGTTGTTCTCGGTGCTCACATCACAGAGAAAGTTGGTCTTTGACTGTAAAAAAAAAAAAAAGTCAAGAGGCTGACCAAATCAGTTTTACCTTCCTTTCCAAAGGAGTTATCGGCTGAGACGGGTCCTGTGGGATGAGGAGGCTCCCTCTTGAGCACAGTTTTGCTTCGGGGGACCTGAGCCTTGTGGACGTCTGTGGGTGACTGGCGTGGCGGTGTGGGTAGAGTTGGGAGGGTGGTGTTAAGGAAAGGCCCAAAGCGCCTGGAATATTTCTTCCTCTCCGCAAACCCAACCCCATAGCTGTTACTCGAGAAGCTGTTTTGTAACATTAGGCCATAATGAATTGCACAATTTGCCCACACACATCAGTGCCTTTCGCTGGGTAGTCAGAAACCCTCATTAGAGGCAGGCTTTCCCTGGCAGCCCACACATTAAAGACTTCTCTGTGCTCGGTGGGACAGATTTTCAAAGGATCGGTGCACTCCGTGTGCCTTTTGCCTTTTCTCTCAGTGGGAGCACGTCTCCAGCCGCGGTGACAAGTGCTGACTGCTTGCAGAAAAGTCCAGCTTGAACATCTTCTTGAGTTTTTTTGCTGCAGAGTCAGGTGAAGAGCCCAGGGATCCTTACTCCGTGTCCCTTGTTAAAATTATTACCGTGTGTGTCGTCTTTCATTTAGTCAGTCCCGCTAGCGAGAATTAATTTTAGACTTTGCTGGCTTTTGTCCGTAGATCTCAGGATATATCATCTACAGTTTATTTTGCACTCATCTGGGCAGTAGCTGGAGAGTGTAAAATGGGATCTCCTGGAACAACTTAATTGCTTCAGCCTCTTTCTCGAAGCAGCTGTTGGCATGAATGTGCATGGATACATAGACACGTGTGCGTGTTTTTTACCTCATCTCTGACAAAAAGCAATAAAGCAATTTCTTTTCTCCCCTTCACATCCTTTGGGGATTTGTGCCCTAAAGCATCCTACAAGAAAACCAGCACATCATTGATGACCCGCTCTGGCTTCTGGGGGTGGCAAATGGTCCTTGCCTAAAAACCCACGCCGCGCAGTGCCTCGGATAGCAGCGGCCACAAAAAGCAGCTCTCTCGAAATATGTCATCTTCTCTTATCTCGTAGGTGATGTCGAAGCAGTAACGGAGAATTGTTACGGTTTCTTCACCTCTTGAAATTGGTCCTCACAGTGAGGAAACATCAAAATTGGAGTGGGAGAAGCTGGGAAGCTGATGGGGCTTTGATAGCTGTAAATTTACTTGGCTGCTTGTCTCGCTCATGGCGTTACTGATGTATTATCAACCTGAAGCCACGAGGACTGATATGGGGAGGGAAAATAGTGATTTTTTTTTTAAAGGCATCAAGAAGTACCTTTGGAACTGAGCAGAACATACCCATGCTTGTACTTAGGTCCATAGTCAGATTTTTTTTTAATTTTGTGTTACGTATTTGCAAAGAAATTGCCAGGTTTGGTGACGCTCAGCAGAAATAGTTACTGCCTAGCATCGAGAGGGATGGAAAGGCTGCCTCGTTAGCCTTCTTGCTTAGATTGTGTGTACAAGGCAGGGAGTTCCTCTTGATTGGAATGAGGAGCATCAAATATCTCTGCGTACATGATAGGGGATCATGGGAGGCTGTGACACAGGACTCCCAGAGCACGTGTTGGAAGTAGGCATTTATTGTTTTGTTTTTGCTTTGGTAGCCGGAGGTTCAGAAACTCCTGTTTTACTTCCCCGAAGAAGCCTCAGACTGCTTTGTTTTCAGATACAGTTTTCCATTGTCTGCATGTTTTGGTAAGCAAATTTTAAACATAGCACACAGACAGATGCTTATAAAATCAGCCCAAGTCAACAAGTCAAAATCAGCACAAGTCACTGTTTTTTCTGCATTCATTCTGGGAAATATTTCTTCTGGTATCTGGCATCTCTCTAGACTTGGAGAATTGCCAGTGAGAGAAGCATTTGCCCCCCAGGCAACTGGAGCTTAATGCGCCCCAGGCTGCACAAACAGCACTGAACTTCCCAAAGGGTAAAAGGGAAGATAACGGGGAACATGGAGCTGTTGCTTTGGACAAGGAGGTTAAAATAACTTTAGATAAAACCATCTGTCCTCAGGAGGCCAGGAGGGATGGGACGGGCTCAGTGCTCGTGCATTGGTGCTGGGATGACGACTTTCAGGACTCGGTGTCTGGCAGAGCTGGGGAACTGCCTAGGAGTGCTGGGGATAAACCCCAATAATAGTCTAAATTGTTATTTACTGAAGGAAATATACATTTTTGCTCAAAGGCCATCTGATTTTTGGTAAAACGGCAGTTTTGGGAAGTTGTATGGCACTGGTGCAATCCTTGTGTGCACGTGAATGGAGGAATGCTGCACCCTGATGTTCTCCCTCTCAAGAAATGTAACTTCTCTAAGAAGGCTAAAGCTCCGTGTGGCTTTTATTTCCCTACTTCCATTTTTGTTGGAGGAAAAAAATAAATCACACCAGCATCCTTTAGTGGCATGAATCCTGCCCGATGTGCAGAGGTTTGTAGCATTTGTGCTGGCAAACCCTCATTTCTAGCAGTGTGAACAGAGCACAGCAGTTGTCCTCGGGAAGGAGAAAACACTGGCTGAGTACAGACAGGTGTACACGGGGAATTTCCAGAGGATTTTGGTCAGAAAAATGAAAATACTGTGCTGGGTTTTGGTGCAGAACTTGGTGCCTTGTGGAAGGAGACCAGGAACCGAAGGGCAGCACACAGACCTCACTGGCCACGCTGCAAGCCCTTGTTGCAGTTCCCTTTGCTTTAATCTCAGGGCAGCAAAGCAAGAAAAATGTTCTTGTGGGAGTGCAGAAGGAAGATGTTGTTTTGGGGCGTTCAGTCCTTCCAAAGCAAACTCTGTCGGTGAGGATGCTTCTGTGCCTTCACCCCTGCATTGTGCAGATGTGCCCGCTCTGTTACAGACCCTTTGGGCAAGCTTTGCTCCTGAATAGGTTTCTGGCCAATCCTTGCTACTCTGAATTTCATGGTAAGATCTTCTTGGGATGGACCTAGGTTGAATACATTCCAGTTGCCTGCTGTTCTTGAAACCAGTCTGTCAGGGAGTCCTAAATAACGCCCTGCCTTATGCAGAAGCAGCAGGAGCAGAGCAGGGTCTGTGATCCGAGGCACGGCTCAGCTTGCTGGCAGCCACAAGCTTATTGAGGGCTTTTGCTGCGTGAGACACCGGCAGAAAGAAAATACTCTGAAGAGTTACTTGAGCCTCATTTGTTTAATGAGCCTCCGGTAAAGATGAAAGCTCCCCACTTGCGATGGTTTGAAAGCAGGTTGCGTCACAGACTTTTCAAATGGGCAGAAATGCAAAGGTTTGCATTGTGCAGAGAGAAATTTTGTCATTAGTTCGTGTCGTTAGAGCCCGTATAAATTGCAGCATCATAAAAGGCATAAAATTGCCGGGGGACTTGTGTGGAACATGGCGATTCTGATTTGTGATGTGCTGCCACACGACTGGGGGCAGAATCCCATACAGGATACCTGGGGTTTGACCCTGGGAGGGAGAATTTTAAAGATTAACAGGGTTTCAAGCACTGATAATCACGCAGAGATAAAATAAATGCTATTGTAGTTGATAGTCTTGCTCTGTGGTACCCTGACTAATAAATAAAAAGCCACTTTTACCTGGTTGTGCCTTTTGTGTGGTCTGAAGATCTGGGACCCAGCACATGCAGGGAGCAGGTCTCTGAGCTGGGAGCCAGGAGACTAATTTTTTCGTATTTTTATTCTAGCAGTGACCTGCTACCTGACCTTGAGCAATTTGCTTTCTTCATGGCTATGCAATGCTGCTCTTTAGATTTGCCAGATCTTAGGGGAGAAAGCTCACAGGCTTGTTTCGTAACAGAAGCTTCAGCTGGGGTTTTGTGAATGCTAATATCAGATGAATTTATGAAGAGTAATATTTGCAGCTAACGCTTCCGTGTCACCGTATTTAAGTGCATCTTGTTCCCATCCTTATCTCAAAGAGAGAAAATGGCCTGGGCTGCCCCAGCATTTTTCATCCCCTTTCTGCTCTCTGTCTCCCCAGCTGTGGAGTCACTGCACTCCTTGAACGACCAGATCTCCCATTTTATCGTGAACAAGTCAAAAACGCTGGACGAAGACGAAGATGCCTTTCTGCCTAGTGAGAAGGAATCTCTGAAAAGTGCCATGATGCTGATGAGGCACCTCTTAATGGACGCACAGGTACAAAACCAATGCACTCCCATCTGTTACAACAACAAAAATGCTTTTCTCAGACCCAGAGGCAGCAGTTCCTTTGTAGGGATGGTTTTAGCAGTGCAATGCAGTCCCTGAGACGTGTTTAAAACAGACTTGGGCTTCCAGAACACACAGCTGCAGCAAGGCCATCTCAGTGCAGGGAGCAGCTTTTGATGGGCTAGTGTTAAATTTAGGGCTGGAGATTGATATACCTGTGGATGGGAATCCAGTGTCAGCCCAAGCAAAAGAAAATCATTTTGCCACTACGCATCTGTGCTGATGCCACTTTTAGACGTGCCAGACACGCAGCTGAGCTGTCGGTTTAGCCTGGCTCCAAAATGTCAGTTAAAAGTCAGGAAATTTTGCGCAGATGTTGCTTCGTGTCTTTGCTGCTTCTACACAAAATCTCTCCCTCTGTAGGTTTATTATGTTGGAGTGTTTCCTTCAACCTATAAAAAAAACAACCTCTGAAATATTTATTTTATATGTATTTATTTTTTATACTGCCCTGTAGTCTTTATTTGCAAAGCCTAGATGGAAAAAGGCAGCTGGTGGGGAGGCAGGGTGGCCAGCCCTCCAGCAGGGCTCACGCTGCCCTTGCACTCACAGCTCTCCAGGGTCAAGAGCTCCACTCCTGGGTCCCTTTCATGGGGGATTTTTCTTGTTCTGCATATTGCAGCTTGTGCCCATCACCTCTCATGAGAAGCCTAACAAGAAAATAAAAGCAGAGGAGATTATTGCTGTAAGGATTAGCTGTGCTGTGTGCACAATAATCTTACCCAGGGTTTTTCCTGATCACTATCCCATGCCAACCCCAGTTTGCCCTTGTAGTTACCAGCCCGGCTTGGTGCTGATGGCATCACCACAATTAGCCACACCTCCGCTAATCAGACAGTCCCCAGGGCTCGGTTTTCTGCGACTCACTGGCAGCTCTTTGCTAGTACCTAAATGGGAAATGCAAACAGAGAAAACCACACATTTTCATGTTTTATTCCCATATTCTCCCAGGTGGAGCCTGGTGGTTATCTTACCCGTCTCTCTCACTTTCAAGGCCCTTTGGTCCTAATTACTTTAGCTAATAGGGCTTTTGTTGCATGCAAGAAGTGAGCTGGGAATCCCTGGTGTTAGTGACACGTAGTTTAACTTTGGGTATTCTTGCATATGGAGTGGGGGAAATGTATTTAGGTGTGCTGAAGTTTTAGGATGCTCAGTGCTTACAGTCCAGTGGGACAGATGGACGGGAGAGGCAGTCGACCCCAGAGACCAGAGACACCGCCTTAGCAGATGTCCAGTCAGGCTTTGTAGGGTACAGAGCTCATCTCTCTTCTCTGTGTCTTTAGCCAAATCACCTCTGTTTTTTTCCCAAATCACTGCTTGGGGCATTGCTGCAAGGACATGGAGAAGATGAAGGGTTAAACTGTGCATTTGGATTTGCACACGCAGCCTGTGCTGCAGGTGGGAATACCTTTGGAGAGTCAGGCGTGAGAGCAGGCAGATGCTGACAGGCATCTGCATGCTGCAGATGAAATAAATATGGGGCAAAAAGTGCCTATGGAAGAATTCCTTATGCAGGAATTATTTTTTTTAGCTCCTGAGAAGTGCTTTAGTGCTTGTTAGCTGTCCTAAATGCATACAAAGCACCGCCTGGGTGACTGGTGAAGGAAATGCCAACAGCAGTGGGAAGTGCCATGGCATCCCCGTGGGGCACCTGGGTCTGCTCCGAGGCAGGACAGAGCCTTGTTGGGGCTTTTGATTGGGATTTTGGAGCTGGAGGGATGACAAGGTGGGCAGTAGCAACAACGAGCAAGAGGATGGAACTGAACAGGTGACAACTGAACAGATGACAACATCAGGTACCAAAAAACCCAGTGAAATAAATCTCTTGGGGAACGGGAGGAACACAGGCTGGCAGCAAGCTGCCCAAAGAGGAGCATCACACAGGGCTGTGCGTGGAGAGCACGTGCTCGTCACCCTGGGACTCTAAGTACAAAGGGGGAAAAACTGTCACCAGCACAGTTGTTTCCTTCCATTTCCCCTGATCCCAGCCCACGAGGATGGGCACTAAACGAGACAGGTTGTGTAAGGCTCTGCACAAAGATAAGCTGAATCCAGGGTTTGGCCCTTCTGCTTCCTCTCCAGCTCTCCCTTGGCATGGGCCTGGTTCTGGCTGGCAGGTGGTTTGGGGAGAGAACATCCAGCTGAATTTTGGGGTAGGAATTAGCTGGATTGCTAACCCAGCAGAATCGGCTGATGCAGGGGGTGGTGGTTAACGGGCATTCCTCGTTCTGTGGTGCTGCTTTTAAAACACATCCTTGGGGATGACTGCCTCAAAGTGCTGCATTTCTGACGTGGAGAGAGATCGTACAAATCTTGTAACTCTGGACACCAGCAGCCCAGGAGTCCACCAAGGGTCTAGCTTTGCTCTGGGGTCTTCCACTTTGGATAAATGCTCAGAGTAATTTTCGGTGGGGCTGTGCTGCAGGCTGTGTGCATCCATCTGTGATGATGAGGAGACAAAGCTCCCCAGTGGGGAGCAGAGAAGCCACAGCAGAGCCATGGGCAGTTTGCTCAAGGATTCACAGCTGTGTGATCTCAGAGCCAGAATTTGGGCTCCCATCTGCTGAGTGTCAGCCCAGTCCCCTCATTAGACCATATTTATTTCTCTGTCGGACTCTCAGAAGAACTGTCTTCCCTGTCTGACTTGTCACTTGGAGGTCACTTGTTGGCAAAGGCAGAACAGAGAAACAGCCCCTACAGAAAACCATCTCCTCCCATATGCAGTGGGGGCATCCTCACGTGGACATCGGGCATTGCCTTGAACATTTTGCATCGATCCTACCCAATGTCACTGCAGAGCAGCGTGGGCGAGTGGAGCACAGAGCTGCTGCTGGGGCTGGCCAAGAGGATGGGATGTGGAGAGGATCCCCCAGCAGCGTTTGGGGACAGGTAATAAGCTCAGTGGAGGCCGTCAGCTCAGATTCTGCCCAGGGAAGACAGAAATTTAATGAAAGTCATTGCAGTCTGCGGGGATCTTGACCCCGGAGGTCTCCATCCAGCCCGGGGAGGGTTTTCTCATCATGAAAACACCCCGCGGGAGGGATTGCTCGCTGCCAGCCACGGAGCATCACCCTCCCTTTGGCGGGGGCTGCAGCTTTGCCTCCAGATTGCTCATTTCTGCTGTTTGTGTCGGGATTTTGGCAGTGCCGGCGCGGGGGTGTCGAGGCGCCGTGTTCCCTCAGAGCACTCAGCGTGCAGTCTGCTCGGAGGGCACGAGAGGGGAGAAACCCGGGGGGAAAACAGAGTAATGCTACGTGAACTAAAAGCTGTACCTAGATAACGCTGCTGTGTAAAAGCAGATCGGGAGGAAAGGTACATTTACGCTCTCTGACATGTTCCAGCCTCCGCACAGTATAGGGATGAATAAACAATTTCATTTCTGCCAGCCAGCCCCGTGCAGGATGCTATTGCACGGGTACGGCCTTCTATGATAGATTGTCATTGCTGTCAATCACTTCTGACAGTCCTATTATGCCTGGGAAGGATGTTTGCTCTGTGCGTGGTGTTTTATAATCCTCAGAGGTAGAATTTTATAGCCGAGCAGTGTTTTTTCCTCCAACGTTTCCCTCAGCAGGATTTATTGCTTCTGAGAGACACGTGACTAGAATCCATTACACCTCCCAACTTTAAATCTTCCTTCAGCAATGCCTAAATTACTTTTTTTTTTTTTCTTTTACTTTCTGTTTCTAATTGCTATTGTGAGAGATGTGCCTGGTGTAGAGCAGAAGGTACCCAACAGCTAAGGGCTGCGTCACAGGCATCAGATCTAATCCAGTGGTTTGCTGAAGGTATTTGTCTAATGAATTGACAAGGTGCACCCAGGCACCGGCAGCAGCCTGGGGTAGGTTAATATTCTCCCTTATAGGAAAGTACGTGTGTTAAAAAAAAAAACAGACTCTTTCATATTCCCGGATGCCTGACCTTAAAAGCCAAGCTTTCAGGAAGTTCCGAACATTTAGCTACTTCCATAAAGCGTTGAATTGACTTCAAGTGGATTTAAAACTCTTTGGGAGAACTGCCATCTTCTCACTCATTTCCTTTCTCGACAAGGTGCGATTGTCATCGGGGCCCACTTGGGCACTGCTGCAGCGGGGATGAATACTCAGAGATACAATCTTTCGGTGTGGACTGGACTTTTCAGATGTGGACGTACCGTGAATAATGAGTTAAGATAGGATTAGCCTAGTGTGGAGCAGCCGGCTTAGATTTAATTGGATTTCAGTCGTGGACTAGGTGTAATTCAGCGAGCATGAGGATGTAGAGATATTTGACTGCATCCCTGCTGAGGGGCTCATTGCATTCTTACATGAAGAAAGACAATAAACCAGGTGGTAGTGCTGGATGAATTTGTTAACAGAATACTACAGATATTACCCCAAAATTTTATCAGGAAGAACCTTTTCATTTACAGGTGGAAGGTTTTTTGTTGTTGTTGTTGCTTAAAATCGCCACCATGAGCCCCTGAAGTTTGACACCGGGGTTCTGTGATTTAATGATTTAAGGTGAGAGGAAGCCTTTCAGTTTTTGCAAAAAGGAGAAACCTCCTTGATATGAGTGACTTCTAACCATTCGATATCCCACCAGCTACTTTTATATATATATATATTAGCCTCCAACCAGAAAAAGAAAAACAACAACAACATAATTTCTTGAGCTCTTTCAAATTACACTCTTTTCTTCAGCAGTCTCCGTCATCTTTCCCAGACAGACTGTTACCGACGCGGCGGCGATAGTAGCTGCAAGACGGGTAGCAGTGGTGCTATTGCATCAGCTGACCTTTAAAAATAATTCTCATTTTCTACAGAGGCCTGTTGTACAAACCCAACCGTGTTGTTGCAATATTGTGCTTGCTAGTTAAATGCTTTCCACCATCTGCTCTTCAGACTTGTACCAGACCAAGCTTTAGGAACAAAACGCCGTGACCTTTA